CAAGTATTTTTACTTTACATAATCTTACACTTTGTGAAAACTCGATTATTATTAATCAGTTCTTGTTTAGTAAATCAGTCTCAAAACAAGATCAAAAAGACTTTTTGGCTGATATAAGGTTTTAAAACTTGGTTAGATGGACAGTTTTTGCAGTACAGTAACTGAAAATCAATAGCCTGACACAAACTTTAACACTTTATCTAGTTAGGTAATTAAACTATAAGCCGTTATTCAATCACTTTTAAAACCTTTGGGCTTCATTACTGTCAGTAAATGACCGAACATTCCCTGATTGCCTAACGCCTTTCACAGCAGAGTTTCAGACTGAGATCATCGTATGTTGCAACTGCAAACATTTTGGGCAAATCTTTAAAAAAAAAAGGTTCTGATACATAAAGTATGTGTTGTGAATGACTCCCAGCTACAGGTACACTGAGGTGAAACAAGTGTAGATGTAATTCTGCTGACTATCTGAGAGTTTCATTAACATTTGTACAGTAGTTTGTGAAATATTTTACTAATATGGGATAAATCTTGTGCCAGCAGGAAGTGAATTTGAATTGCTCAGATTGAATCTGAATGTGCAGAATTTGAAATTGAATGCATTGGTTTGAAAATAAATTTCACTAAATTAAAACTGAATTTAATGATTTGAAACTGAATTTCAAGTTTTGTATCGGAACTGATTTTCTTTGAAACTGTATTTTGGTTTATTAAAAATTCAGTTYGACTACTTTCACTTTCAGKTCCATAATTCAGATTTTTGTGTCACATCCTGGTCCTTGAGAAAGCCAGRCAGAGTAATCAAACACAGATCCACAGATTTACGTTTCACTTTGGTGAAGTTTCCCTTCTGGATGTAACAGAGTTGATGAAATCCACTGTAAAWGTGACAAAAACAGACAAAGTTATTTTATTGTAGTGATTAATTTTACCTAGAAAATGTTTACAACCCATCATGGATCAGTCAGCAGCAGCGTCTGATCAATATGTGATCTGCAGCGGGGAGAGACGCTGTGAGGACTGAGCCGCCTGTCGCTGCTTTGGGACTGGGGAGGAGCTCACAGCAGATCCCACTGTGTTCATGTCAAGGGTCTCTATATCCCCCTCAGCATTGTTGAGTCTCAGTCTGTTTGGCTCTGCTCAGGTGGACAGTAGGTGTGTCTACAGCTGTGGATCATCAGCATGCACCGTCGTGTCTGGACTATTTTTTTTTCACCTTTTTTTTCAGTTCAATTCTTTAGTCTCACAGTTCAACCTTTTTTTTTTTTTCGATACAAAAAAGAAAAATTTCCATGCCCTTCTTAACTTGTAATTTATTGGAATTGTGAACATTTGTTTAACCTCAAAAGTACAGCTTTTAAATTAAATGTTTCAGAAACAGCAAGTTTCACTGTAAAAAATGTCCACCTAACCAAGTTTTAAAATCTTATATCAGCCAAAAAGTCTTTTTGATCTTGTTTTCAGACTGATTTACTAAACAAGAACTGATTGTGTAAGAATAATCATCTTGTTTTCAGACTGATTTACT